GGGTTGACCTGATGGATAGCCCTTCATCAGAGCTTAACAACAAAAGAAATCTGAATGTTTAATATGTTTAATAGTTTTTGAGCTATAACCATTTTTGTATGTCCAGATACCCTATTTTCAGATAAATTTTGGGTCCGGGGATCACTGATTTGTGGGCCTGATGTGGATAGAGCTAAACAACCAAAAAAAAAATCTTAAGCTCCTATGTTAAAGGGTTTCTGAGTTATAAGCATTTTTGCATTCTAGATACCCCATTTGCAGATAAATTGGGGGTCCAGGGGGGTGGGGGGCACTGATTGGTGGGCCTGATGGATAGAGGCCTTCATCAGAGCTAAACAACAAAAGAAATCTGAAGCTCCTATGTTGAACAGTTTCTGAGTTACAAGCATTTTTGCACGTCCAGACACCACCTTTTTGAAAGGAGCCCCCTCCTCAAATATGGGGTCTATTGTAAAACCGTTGGCTGATGCAGTGTAGGTCGGACTCTTCTACAGCCCTGCCAAATTTCATGTTGATTGGTGAAGCCAATTTTGTGCTACAGTTGACCAAAAATCACAGAAAAACAATATGACCCGCTTATGCTTCACGTGCGGGGGACATAATGACAACATGCCTGCCGGCAGTAGCCTCTATCCTCCTGTCCCTGCTCAAATCACCTGCAGACGCAAGGAAACCTGTGATCAGAAGCAGGACTCCTCTGACAGCGAATTTGATCCTGCCTAAGTGGAGCTGCAGATCTCCTTTGAGGAAGATGAAGACTCTTATGATCTTCAGATCTCTGAAGAAGAGGAGGAAAATGCATGTCAAACTGATATCGACTTTGAAGCAATAGGGAAAGTGAAAAGAGATGAAGAACACGTCTAAGCTACCGGTCTAACCTGATTCAAAGACACTTTTGCATATTAAGAAACGGACTCGATAAGGCATAACTATTGAAAGTGTCTAAATTTAAAATGTGAAATGTTTGTGCTTCTCCACTGAAAAATACAATAAACTCACTGAACAAACATGGGAAACTACTAGATTTTACACAGCGACTGAACCTGGAGGTTTAGGTAGGTTTCAGAAACAGGAGATTTGTGTATAACAATAATAATAATAACAATAATAATAATAATGTGTATATATAATATAAAATAATGAAGACAACAGAAAAAAATCTTTAATATATACACTGGTAAATCAATTTCAGAGTAGGTGCTCATCAGTGGCTTCCATGGAGGGTCCAAATCCAAGGGTCTCGTTCAGGCGCTCATCAGAGTCCAAAATCAGAAAAATAAATGAAAATCAAAAACACACAAAGCCTCAGAAGACAGTCTAAATAGACCCAGCCTCAGATGACATTCTTAAGAGACCCAGCCTCAGATGATAAACTTAAGAAACCCAGCCTCAAGATGACAATTTTCAGAGACCCAGTCTCAGACGTCAGTCTTAAGAGCCCCAGCCTGAGACGTCAGCCTTCACAGACCCAGCCTCAGACGAAGGTCTTAAGATACCCAACCTCAGAAAAAAGCCTTAAGATACCCAGCCTCAGACAAAAGCCTTAAGATACCCAGCCTCAGAAAAAAGCCTTAAGAGACCCAGCCTCAGTCGACAGTTTTTAGCTACCCAACATCAGAAGACAAGTCTTCAGAGACCAAGCCTCCGACGGCAGTCTTAAGAGACCAAGCCTCAGACAGTTTCAGGAGACCAAGCCATAGAAGACAGTCTAAAGAGACCCAGCCTAAGACAACAGTCTTAAGAGACCCAGCCTCAGAAGACAGTCTGAATAGACTCAGCCTTAGACAGTCTTCAGAGACCCAGTCTCAGACAGCAGTCTTAAGAGCCCCAGCTTCAGACAGTCTTAAGAGACCAAGCCTCAGAAAGTTTTCAGACACCCAGCCTCAGATGACAGTCTTAAGAGACCCAGCATCAGACGTCAGCCTTCACAGACCCAGCCAAAGACCAAAGTATAAAGAGACCCAGACTCAAATAACAGCCTTAAGAGTCCCAGTCTCAGTCGACAGTTTGTAGCTACCCAACATCAGAAGACAGTCTTCAGTAACCCAGCATCAGGAGAGATACATGACCGTTCGTCAACTAATTAAGAAATGACGTCACACAAAACTGACAGGTACCACGCCCCTTTAGGACGGGACATCCGTATATGGTCAACTTCCGGTCTGTCCTTCCTGTAGGATCTCCATATTTGGTCAACTTCCGTTTCATGACTTCCTCTTTTGATTTACCATAACTATCCCCCTCCCTCATCCCCCCTCGACTTCCAGTAATCCTACCCTCCCTTTTCCCCCCTCGATTTACCATAACCCTAGCCCCCCTCTTACTCCCCTCGAATTACTGTAAGCCATGACCACAACATCATGGTTTTGTGCAGATTTTCTATTGCAAAAGAGTTTGAGCTGACACGAAGTCTATTCTGTTGACCGCAACATCCTGTTTTGAGCAGGTGTCCATATAGCCCATCTGTCTGCTCACCCTCCCTCTCAGGGGTTCGTGACTTCCTGCCTAGCTGAAGCTGACAGGCTCTGAGACTTATCATCAGAAAATTAACCAACATCCAATCAGTGGATAGGGTTAGGCTTTAGACCCACCCCTCAACCAATCAGATCGTGTTTAAAGCATTAATTTCCGCCCCTCCTCGGTTCTCGAAGCGTTTAAAAGAATGCGTCTCGTTCATTCCATACTGCCATCACCGACAAGACACCTGCTGCGTTCCAGACCCGTCAGTACWTCCATCAGCGATCGACAAGACCCCCCTGCTTGACCACTGGGGCAAGCTGAAGTAAATTTTAAAGGTTCGTATTTTTTTATTTATTCACTTTAATGTATTTATATAGTTTTTTAATTGTACTCTATATGTTTGTCAACAGCGAGAAGAACCATCTCTGTGTTCCACCAGCGTTACGCGGCACCTGCGCCAGCATCCCAACGTAAATTTTAAAGGTTTGTAAATGTGTTTTATTTGTTTTATTATGTATAATGTTTAATGTATTGTCATGGACGGGTTCTTCTTTAACCCATCATGTACATTCTTCTACATTCATCTTGTATATTGTCATTCACCACAAAATATGTGAATACTTGAGTTTTCCCTCTCCACTTGAATTTCTATAGCTTAAGAAAGAAAAAAATGTGCAAAAAGGAGTTTTGAATGCATTTTTATTCATCTCAATGAATCAATTTTCTTTTACTTTTCTCCAGTGAACAATTTAAGAGAATGTACAATACAAAAACATGAAAAATAACATAACCCATTCAACTAATTACACAGCGACTGAACCTGGAGGTTTAGGTAGGTTTCAGAAACAGGAGATTTGTGTATAACAATAATAATAATAACAATAATAATAATAATGTCACAGCCTTTGCAGATATATTTCTTACACCTGCAGCACACAGTATGAGTTTTACAGTCCTTCTTTTGAGGGCAGAACTGACATCTCTTCCTCTTACTTGCCCGAGCTGGGGAAGTGGCTGTGGTAGATGGATKRTCAGGTTGATCAGGAGCTGCTGCACTCTGAATAGCTTTCATGTCTGCTGCTGAGGCTTCTGTGCGGGGAACATGCTTCCTTCTTTCAATGAGTGGAGTTACAAG